TCCGCGTCTCGCACGAGTAAGCAGGAATAGGGATGTATAGAAAAGTGAGACAGTCTTGGCCGCGCGATCATGCGACGGCGCCAGCAGGGCGCCGCCGGGCGAGCTCTGGTTGCGGCTTCTGCGGGGCGGGCCTTAGCATATTGCATGATTGCGTTTCCGGTGACAATTTGCAGGTCGTCAACACCGGCGTCCGACAGCTGTGGTTGGTCGGAGGACGGAGGGGAGGGGTGGTTAGGCAAGAGAGTGGGGGAGGACGGCTTGATCAGCTGCCGAGTGCGGAGGGGGGAGTTCCCGGTAGAGGCGGCATAAAATTGTGGGTAATACGCATTTTTACAGTTTGCTCACACACGTTGGCCAGCACAGACGTAGTTGGCCAAGGCGGGAAGCAAGATGACAAGAAGCGCATAAGGGGGTGTGCTCTCACAAGAGCGAAAACTGCCCACGCAAGACTTAGGCCACGATAGCAAAGAGGGCGGAGACGGCGAGGACGAGGGCGCCCAGGATGCTGGCGGTCGGGGAGACCGAGGAGGCGGCCGAGGTACCGGCCGGAGCAACGTAGCTAGCATAGCCGTTGCCCTCGACGGTGTCGCCGGTCTTGACCTCACCGCAGGTGTCGATAGGGTAGGCGGTCTTGTCGCTGCCGCACTGCCCGCAGTTGGTCCCGGAGCAGCCGGCAACCTCAATGTTCGAGCCGACCTTTGTGAGGGTGTTCGAGGTACCGCCGACCTGCGGGGCGCACTGGCGGGTCGAAGCCACAATCGAAGTCACGTTGGAGATGTCGCACGAGGGGTCAGTCTCGTCGAAGACGCGGAGGATGTAGGGGAAGTTGGAGACGGCAGGCGCGGCAGCCTCGCAGGTGGTCTTGGAGTAAAAGTTGGACTGGCCGATCTTGGCGCAGTCGGACGCAGTGCAGAACGGGTTCTGGTTGACGGAAACGCCGATCTGGTCGTTGTCGGCACAGGTGCTCGAAGTGTACACCTTGTCCACCTTCCAGTCCTGGGCAGACGCGAGCGCAACTAGGGCGGCAAGAACAAACGCAACAGCAAGCCTGTGGCAGACGGCGTCGAGCAGGAAAAAGAGAGTGAGTGGGTGCCGAGTAGCGGAGCCGGAGGAGAATGCGAGCAAGCTCATAGCGGCCTAGTAGATGCTTACTTCATGATGGTCACGAGGAAACAGTAGATGTGTACAGAGACCGCGTGTGTTGGTGGGGCAATAAAGGCGGTCTGTTTTAACGATTCTGACACAATCGCATATGCCACATGTATAACGCGTGAATTTTTTCGCATGTGAGGCGGCTGCGCGTACCGGCGGGGGTGACGGACCCCGGGGCTATTGAGAAGAGTATAGGGTGTGGCAAGGAGCTCATAAGGATGGTATGGGGGTGTTAACGACAGCCTGCTGGGGTGAGGGCTGCAGGATGGCAAGAACGGCGATGTGGAAGGTACAATGGTGGCGGGGAGGGAGGTTGGGTGAGAGTGGACGCCTCATTTTTTTGCACAAGTTGTATGAAGCTGCGAGCGGGTTCGGCGGCGACAACGACAAGAGCGGCGAGGCTGACGGCGGGCTACGAAGCCATGGACGAGCGGGTCTTGAACGAGCCGTCGAACGAGGGACGCCGCTTATTAGGGCGCAGTGAGCGTCGGGAGCGGGCGGATGGGCGGTCACCGATGGTGCGGAGAATCTGAGTGAGGGCCGGCCCATAGGCCTTGGCGACGTCCGCGGACGAGTTCATGGCGTCGGTAAGAATGGCAACGCCGCCCTGGTCGAGGAGGACAGCGAGGTTGTGCTCGAGGGCCATAGCGTTGATGATGGCGCCGACGAGGGCGACAACTGCAGAGTCCGAGCGGCGGTGCCGCCGTGCCAGCTGCAGGAGCAGAACCATGCCGTTGTGGCGGGCGAGGTCGAGCTGGGCCTGTGGTGAGTCAAAGAGCATGTTTTGACCAGTCGGGCACCAGCGCGGGCGAGCTCGGCCTCAGCCGGTCCGTGCAAAGCGAGGATGGCGAGGACGCCGCGGACGCCGCGCCCGGCAACAAGAGCGTCCTTCCACTCTGGGCGGCCAAAGACGAGAGCTTTGAGAAGGGCAAAGCCCTGGACGAGGACATCGACAAAGCCGCGGAGGTCATCAAGGACGAGCATGACCTTGTCGAGAAAGTGGGTCTTGTCTGGCGCCCACTCGGAGAGCCTGACGACGCTCTCGAGCAGGTTTGCCGGCGTGTCGCCGGCGCCAGTGTCGACGAGGACTGGTAGGCCACGGCCGGCTGGCGATCGACCTGCCGACGGCGAGCTGGGCGGCGCTGAGCCTTGGGTCGGACCTGTGCTGGCACACAGCCGGTTCGCGGTCCGATCCAGTGCCACAAAGGCACGGAGGAAACACATGGCCTCGGTGGCGAGCAGCGCATGGCCCGACGCGCTGAGCAAGAGGTCTCGGGAAAGGCGGGCGGCATCGAGCGGCGGCGAGGCGAGCGCCACCAGGTAATCCTGTGAGGCGGCACCGATGTGGCGCAGAAGGCGCAGAGCCATGACTAGCATGTCAGCGGCGTGGAGATGGCTGCGCGCGAGGGCGACGACCTTGGCAGGGACGTCGAGGGCGACGAGCGAGGTAACGGCGAGAGGATTGAGGGTGAGGTTGACAAAGAGCGCGAGGCAGGCGGCCAGCAGGTCGGGATGCATGTCGTGCTCGTCCATGACCTGCAGGACGAGCGAGATGCCCGAGTGCTCGCGGACAAGAACGCAGGCGAGGTCGGAGACGGTGACATCGACGAGGGCGGTGAGTGTCTTGAGCTGAGCCATGTAGCTCGCGTCCGAGTTGGCAAGCTGTGCGAGCAGCGGCTGGACCTCGTGGTGCGGCACAACTTCGGCGCGGAGCGCAAGATCGGCCAGCCGCTGCTGCTCGGCGCTGAGCACGACAGAGCGGAGGCGGAGCGCAGAGCGGGCGCCGCCGAGCTCGTGCGCGAGCGCCTCGGTCGGCGCGCATGAGAGCTGGGCCACGGCCGATGCCTTGTCGACCTCGACCGACTGTAGCGCGTCCCACCATGGGCTCGCCGACTCTTCGTCGAGGGGAAAGCCGAGGATGACCGGCTCGAGCGCCGTGTCAAACTGGAGCACGAGCGGCTCAGACCATCCTTGCGCGAGGTAGGCCGACCACGAGGCCGCCAGTTCGTAGTCGACATACGCGTCGTTGGAGTGGACGGTCTCGGACATGACATCGGCGACATCGAGCTGGACGTCGGCGAGCGGGACCCAGTACTTGAGGGTGTAGTGCGGGTGAGGCGGGGCGCCCGGAAGTGGCGGCGGCGGCGGGCGGAGGAGGAGGGCGACGTCGGTGAAGAGCAAGAGCAGGCCCATCCGCAACGGGGCCGAGACGGTAGCAAAGTAAACAGGCGCCTCTGCCACAAAGGCGCGGGTTGGCGAGGCGAGCAGGTGGTACGGCTGCGGGCCGTCGGGCATGTCGCTCTCCATCAGCTGGGCGTACTCGAACAGCTGAGTCACTCGCTCGAGCTGAGGCCGCCTGGCGCACAACTCGGTCTCGACTCGCTGGAGAGCGGTCCACGCGCTCTCGAGCGCGGTATAGTCGGGGTGCGACGGGATGGTGCCCTGCAGCAGGTGTGAGACCTCGCGGAACATCCGCCCGAGATGGACAAGTGGCCGCGAGAAGTAGTAGGCCACAGACTTGATTTCGAGTACATCGGCATCGGGCTGCAGTGCGGCCTGCGCTGCATCGTATTCGAGCTTGTCGAGGAGGGCCACAAACTTGGGGTTGGCGAGGAGCGAGCCGAGTAGCTGGACTGATGTCGAGTAGTTGGCGGTAAAGTCGGAGACAAGCTCCGCAAGCAGCGGCACGTCGCTGCTCTCGCCCCGCCCCACAAATGCACCCAGCGCGGTTCCGATCCGCGACGAGGCATCCCACGACTTGAGCGCCGATGCGAGCGCGCTCTGTAGCGCACCCGCCCGTGCCTCAATCTCAGCCAGGGCTCGCGGGAAAACGGTGTCGAGCTCCGATTGCGAGAGCGCAAACGGAACGTCGAGCCCGGGAGCGGAAGCCTTGCTCTTGAGGACCGAGGACGAGCGAGAGAGCCGCCCGCTCGAGCCGACGGAAGAGCCGTCGCGCGATCGTGATCGGGCGAGCGAGCGCGAGTGGGCAAGCGTGCGGCTCTGTGAGACAGCCTCGAGCTTTTGAGCCGCCATCGAGAGCTCGCCGGTCGTCATGAGCGAGTCCCGTGACCGCGAGAGCATCGAAGCCTGTGGCGTCAGCGTCCGCGGCGTGACAGATCGCGAGCCAGCTCGTGAGGGAGAGCGTGGCGGCGGGCGAGTGGCAGCGAGCGTAGCTGCCGCCAGCGGCTTGTACAGCGAGTTGGAGAGAACATACAGGTCATTGACTAGCTCGGTGGTGACTGCCAACAGTCGCTGTGCAATGTCTGCCCGGTGGGGCAGAGGGCCTGTGTCGTTGGGATCGGCCATGGCCTGAGCGAGCCGAGTGGTGGCAACGTGAAGGAGGGAATCGTTGGGTGTTGTTAACGCATTTATCGTTGGCACATTAATCACAGTCGTTGGTTTGACGAATCATAGGTTCACCAGTCGTTCCACTCTCAACGAAATCACAATATAATGAACAACAACGAATGCCAAGGTGCGGGTTGATTGCGGGAGGGAGGTTGGGAGAGGGACTCGGGAGGGGGCAGGGGGGGGTGGGGCGGTGGGGGGTAGCAGACCGACAACGAATGACAACGGCAGTTGTCGCCACCGACTACCCCACCCTGCACCAGAGTAAGGTGGTAGGTAGACCTAAGTCGGTACCAAGCACGTTACCTCGTACAGCATCTGTTGCGTGTGTGACAGAGCACCTTCTGCAAGCCTTCGGCAAGCCGTCCACCCCCCCCCCCCCCCCTCCGCCCTACTGTCAGTTGTTGGCCGTTGTCGTCTGGAGCTATTACCAGCCAGTCAGCCAGCCAGCCTCGGCAGGAGCTATCACCTCAGCCTCCTTGCCCCTTGTCGGTCGCTCTGTGAGGAGAAGACAAGGTTGGTGGGTGTGCGGTTGAGAGAGTGGGCATTGACTGCAGTTGAGCAAGAGAGAGAGAGACGGGAGAGCAAGTGGAGCTTCCATGGGCTGCGGAGCATCAAAGAGCTCGGCGTCGGACACGGCGCCGCAGCAAAAGCGCAAGAAGGGAAAAAGGGTGCGATTGCGGCGGCAAACCCGTTTGATGAGACGCCGCTGCCGAGCCAGACTGTGGCCGGCCCAGAGAGTGGCCTGGATCCGGCCAAGATCGAAGAGGGCCTGCCGCCGCCAGACTACGTCCCGCCGAACCTCGTCGAGTGCCCCATCTGTGAGCGCAAGTTTGCAGAGGATCGCATCGCAAAGCACAAGAAGGCATGCAAGGCTGCCAACAAGGAGCGCAGAGCGTTTGACACGAAGCGCATGCGCCAGGAGCGCGACGCCCGCAAGGCAGAGGCTGCCTCTGACTTTGACGATTCGGTCCTCGACGAGAACCGCGGCAAGTGGCGCGAGCAGCACGAGGACTTTATCCGCAAGGTCCGTCGCGACAAGGCAGGCTCCGCATCCAACACGCCGCAGAAGGGCACCAAGCGCCCGCCGCAGAAGCGCGGGCGGGCCCCACGGCGCCGGTAGCTCGCCCCCCCATCTGCATCGTCGCCATAGGTGTGCCAGGAATTGGTGATCAATAAATTGTTGGGTCGTGCTGAGTTGGGAGCACGCAAACGTGGCTAGAAACAGCAGCGACAATGTGAGCAAAGATCGACGGTATGCGCGGCTTATACCCCCCACACGCAAGTCGACTCTACGATCACGGATTGACACGCTCTTTCTGCCCTTGCTGCATATGTACTCGGAGAGTATGAGCGGTCGCTTCCGTCAGACGAGCAAAAACATGGACGACTAACGCCACGACTTTCATGGCCAACACAGCACACTCACGCGGTCACGATGCGATCCAGGCATACCAGAAGAACACATCGCCACGCCTGCCACCCGCCATGCCCACGACCCGCTGTAGTTACCGGCCCTACCCACGCAGCCCGCCAACACCGGCAGTGACGAGTCACGCTGCGCGCCGGCAGCGACGGGTCACGCCGGGCCGGCAGCGACTGACCGAGAGCCCAGCCAAGCAGTCGCCAACAGCGTGGCAGCGTACCTGTTCACCACTCCTCTCCCCAACCACCGACACCATGTTTGCTCTCCCCCGTACCCTTGTGACGGCCCAGTTTGCCCGGACTGCTGTGCGGGCCAAGTCGAACGCGGCAGCCAAGCTTGACTCGCTGCTGGCGACCGAGCTGGAAGGCATCCGCGAGGCCGGAACGTACAAGAACGAGCGCGTGATCACGTCGATGCAGGCTGCCGAGGTCGATGTGGGCCCTGATCACGTCATCAACCTGTGCGCCAACAACTATCTTGGGCTCTGCGACCATCCCGAGCTGATCCAGGCCGGCAAGGACGCGCTCGACTCGCACGGTCTCGGGCTGGCGTCGGTGCGGTTCATCTGCGGGACGCAGGACATCCACAAGGAGTTGGAGGCCAACGTGGCCAAGTTCCACGGGATGGATGACGCCATTCTGTACGCGGCGTGCTTCGATGCTAACGCGGGCATCTTTGAGGCTCTCTTTACGCCGGACGACCTGCTCATCTCGGACGAGCTCAACCACGCGTCGATCATCGACGGCATGCGGCTGGCCAAGTGCCGGAAGACCCGCTTTGCGCACATGGACATGCATGATCTCGAGGAGAAGCTCAAGGCCGGACAGGACGCTCGGCAGCGGCTGATTGTCACCGACGGCGTCTTCTCCATGGACGGCGACATTGCGCCGCTGGAGGAGATTGTCAAGCTCGCGCAGGAGTACGACGCGCTCGTCATGGTCGACGAGTGCCACGCCACGGGCTTCCTCGGCGCCACTGGCCGCGGCACGCCCGAGTACTGCGGCGTTGCCGACGAGATTGACATTGTCAACTCGACACTGGGCAAGGCACTCGGCGGCGGGTCCGGCGGCTACACCACGGCTTCACAGGCCGTGGTCGACGTCCTCCGCCAGCGCTCGCGGCCGTACCTTTCTCGAACACGCTGGCACCGCCGCTGGTGGGTGCAGCCAACAAAATGTTTGACATGCTCATGACCGACTCGTCGTTCAAGGACTCGCTCGACGCCAACGTCAAGCTCTTCCGCTCGTCGATGACCGACCTCGGCTTTACCATTGCCGGCAAGGACCACCCGATCGCGCCTGTCATGCTCGGCGACGCCAAGCTCGCCGCCACCTTTGCCGACAAGATGCACGAGCGCGGCGTCTACGTTGTCGCCTTCTCCTACCCGGTCGTCCCGCAGGGCAAGGCCCGCATCCGGGTCCAGATCTCGGCCGCCCACTCGACGGACCAGATCAACCACGCCATCAACGCCTTTGCCGACGTCGGGCGCGAGCTCGGCGTCATTGCCTAGTGTCAGCGGCAAACTGGGCCGGTGTTGCTCACACCGGCGGGCCGTCGGCCGCCACCAGCGGCTTGGCCTGCCAGAGCGCCCGGAGCTCGCCAGCGACGAGGCCGCGGAGCGAGATGGCGGCCAGCGTGGCAGGTACCAGGTAAAGCAGCGCCGGTTGCGGGTGGCGCATCATTCGCGAGGCCACGAGCGCGAGCCAGAGGCCGGCGTAGTACGCCGCGAGCGCACAGCCAAAGTAAGTCCGCAGTGAGAGCGAAGGCCGGACCCGCTTGCCCAGCTTGCGGTCCATCCGCAGGCCAAAGGCCAGGAGCACGCCCGGGAGAGCCAAATCGCCAAGGCCTAGCATCGCGTACCCGCGGCCATCACTGTACGGCACAACCAACTTGTTGATCATCGGCAGCTTGCGTGGAATGTAGGCCAGGAGGCGGCCCGGCAGCGAGAGCGAGGTCGCCACCGTCCGTGCCGGATTGACCGCCTCGGACGTCGCCACCTTGACCATGACGTTGTCGCCAAAGACCGGCGCCGAATAAAAGACCCAGGCGACGTCAAAGACCACCAGTCCAAGCAGGAGCGCGTAGCCGATCTTGAGGTTGGGGAGGCGCATGAGGGTGACCACGAGAACGACCATGCCGGCGGCGAGTGCGTTGTTCAGCACCCATCCGCCGTACCCCAGCCAGCCAGCAGCCAGCGCCAGTCCGAGCGCCACGTATCCGCGCGGCAGCGGCCACGGCGGAATGGGCAGCGGCGAGGCGAGGGCCATCAGCGGCGCCCAACCAGCGGCAACAATGGCGGCGTGGAGGAAGAGGATGAGGCCGGCGACCGCGTAGCCGATGGCGACCAGCGCCACAAAGACCCCGATGTAGGCAAAGAGAAAGTACATGGCTAGGAGCATGGCCGATAGCATCAGCGGAAAGACAAGCGCAGACGTGCCGTCCACCGCGCCTGTCGTCAGCATCTCCATCATGGCCCGCGAGCTCTCTGCGGCCGCGTCGGCCCGAGTCGCGCTCACAGCCGCGTATCCCACGCACGCCGTGGCAAAGGCAATCATTCCATGGACCGTCACGTCTGAGGCAACCTCGACTACAGCCTCGACCGCAACCTTACTCATCTCCATGTCGAGGTCGAGAGCAGTGGCCGAGTTCGTCCGCACGACTGCCCGCCTGCCCGCCTCCCCACCTGCCCGCCTCCCCACCTGCCTACAGGCACCCCTCTCACTGTTTTCATCGCAGCCACCGCGGCCATTGTAAGCTGCGGCACTGGCTGCTCGCAGGAGTGCACATACTATCCCTGATCCCGCACCGCCTACCAACAGCAACAGCCAAACGCCGTTCTCCATTCGATCTCGCCCATAGCTCCTCAGCCGAGTCGCCGGTCAAGTCGCCCACCGAGTCACCCACCGAGTCGCCATGTCCGGGGTTACCCCCCCTCCCCCCCCTCCTCCCCCCCCTCCCCCCCTTACACCCCGCTACCATAGTCATACTCTCCACGGTCAAGCACACGTCACCGAGTCGACGTACACCCATCTCTAGGCCCCCCCCCTCATTCCCTTCCATCCAGTTGTTGTGTCGGGCGAGGCTTGGGCGAGGCTTCCAATCATGGCTTCGCTCGACGACATGAACGCCATTGCTGGCAACGCATATCGAGCAGGCAACCTGGAGGAGGCCATCCGCCTCTACACACATGCCATTGTACGTAGACGATGCCGTGTACGGGTGATGATGGGTCATGTCCATGGATCGGCTTGAGTGGTTCATGCGCAGCGCTGACAGGTTGACTGCGTGGCACAGACCTGTACCCGACGGCGCTGCAATTGGAAGGCCTCTCCTCGGCATGGAACAGAAACTGACTCACAGCAAGTGGCGACAGGAGGCTTACCCGGAGGAAATCAAGCTCTACACCAATCGTGCACTGTGTAACCTCAAGACAGGGCGGATGGGCAAGTGCGTTGACGATTGCGAGACGGCGATCTCGCTCGCGCCGGACGCGCCGACGCTCAAGAGCGTGTATTTGAAGGGCAAGGCCATTGCACTGGGCGGATGGAGCGTGCGTGACGGACCATCGAGCGTGAGCCGCGAGTCAATAGACTCGGGTCTGGCAGTGGACATATCCAAGGCCGACGCGCTGCCGCTGCTGCGGCATGCGATGAAGATGGCGTTCAGCCTGTCGTCCGGTGCCTCCCAGTGGGTCAGCCAGATCTCCGAGCTTGGGATATCACTGCGGATCGAGCTCTGGCGCGAGCAAGAAGAGGCGCGCCGTGCGGAGGCCCAGCCACTGACTGGACATGCACGGAGACTGTTCCAGGCCGACATGCGCGAGCAAGTCAGCAACGTTGAGAGTCTGCGCAACGCCGGCGCGCTCGACGACGCCGAGGCCGAGGCCCAGGTCGCCGAAATCCGCCGCGTGTACAGCAACAAGATGAGCGACATTGCGGTGGCGCTTACCGGCGGTGAGCTCACCATGCAGCCAGTTGACATTCCTGAAGCGCTCTGCTGCCCCATCTCGTTCGAGCTCATGGTCGACCCGGTCGTGCTTCCGTCAGGCGTCACCTATGCGCGCGCCTCGATCGACGAGCTTCTCGCCCTGGGCGGGAGCCAGGACCCGATGACCCGCGAGCCTATTTCGGCGGCGTCGATCACACCCAACTTGCGGTCCGTCACCTTGTCGACTGGTTTGTCGATACCTTCCCGTGGGCGAGCGAGCTCGGCGGCTGAGACCTCCCGGAGCGTTTACGTGTGCGGGTGGTAGACACCGTTGTGGCACTCGGGCGGCTCAGGCGTGGCCATGATGATGGCGATGTCGCCGGCGCGCATGACGCCGTTGAGATAAACGGCGCCAACGTGCTCGCCGTCGGCCGGGCGTGGCGTTGGCAGACCCTTTCCGCCCCACTTGACACACGAGTACGAGTCGTGCTGGAAGGTCCGGTCCTTGATAGCTGGCCAGACTCGTGCGCCTAGAAAGTGCATGTCGCCAATGTAGTTGTTCGTGTCCGATCCCTTCATCAGCTCGACAATGTTGGGCAGCAACTCGCGCCCGCCCCACAGACCGCCTGAGATGGCAAAGCCCGAGTGTGACGGGTGGTCGCGGATGATGTGGAACATCTTGTCCGACGCCAGCCACTCGTCGACCGCGGCCTTGTCACGCGCCGTCAGCCGCGAGTCAGCGTCGCGCACAATGTAAATGTCGACCTCCTCGTCGGCAGCAACCAGGAACCGCCAGAACATACCAGAAATGCCACCTTTGATGCCCGAGGTCTCGGTCACAATCTCGGCTCCAAGCTCACGGAGCTGGTCGAGCACCTTGCTCGGCACCGTGTCGTCGACGTAGAACCGCGTGACCCAGCCCGGCCAGTTGGCCGCACACAGCCGCGCGTTTTCCAGCGCGCCGTCCATGTACCGCGGGTTGGCTCCGTATAACCCGAATGAAGCCACCTTGTACAGCCCGTCACCACCTTCGGGCTTGTAGTTCATCACATCCTTGGCAGGCGCCGGCGTCGGCGCCGGCGTCGGCGCCGGCGTCGGTGCCGTCGTCGGTGCCGGTGTCGGCTTGGACGTCGACGCCGGAACAGCCCCTCCACTGCAGTCCGGACCAGCAGCCTCCAGTTCAGCGCTCCGTTCGTGGCCTGGCTTGCCGTCAGCATCAAACCGCTGGCCCACATACTCGCCAGCCTTCCGGGGCTCCGGATACGGCCGCGCCTCGGACGAGCTTGATGCCATGAGAGCATCCAGGACCGAGGAGCACCCGGCGAACGTCACCGTTTCGGCGCGGAGCGGGAGTAGCCGCCGGGACACGTCGAGGAGAAAGGCTGGAAGCGCCGCGCCGGCCGACGCTGCCCGGTGCAGCGCTGCACCGATGCCCATCGGAGGCAGGCCGCGCCGTGCCACCACGCCGTCGCCCAGCATACCGCTCACCAGCGGGTGATCGAGTTGAATCATGAGTGCCGAGCCCGGCTGGCTGAGCCACTCGGCCACTGCGCCTGCGTCGCGCGCCGAGAGCCGGCCGAGGACCGGCCGGACAAGAACCACGTCATACCTCGGGTCCGCGGCAGCAAGCCACGGCCAGACTGCAACCGACACGTTTGCAGCCCGCCGCGCGCGCACAAACCACTTGGGCAACGGCTCGAGAACAGCGCCCTCCTGCGTCAGCTCGGCGGCCAGCTTGTCGGAAGGCTCCGCCGCCGGATCAAAGAAGAACACCACTGTGTAGCCCGGAAAGTGCTTGGCCGCGAGGGCAACATTTGCCCGCGCGCCCAGGCTCGCTGCAGGTGCGTCGGCTGGCAGCGCCATAGCGATTATCTTGTCCTGCGCGTCCGGGCCTGGACATTGCGCGTCGCGCCAGGCAGCAAGCTCGGGTGGCCAAATATGGTCGTCGCCATCGACCACACCCGCGGGCGGGTGCAATCTCGCATTTGCAGGGAATGGGCGAGCCCCAGGAGCTCCCGAGCACGGCGCTGCGTCGTGAACAAGGACGGTGTCAGAACGGCGCGCAAGCAGCGTCGACATCACCGTCGCCTGGAGCTGCGCCGACTTGGACCGGCCTTCTGCCAGTGCGGCCTTGACCGCCGCCACCAACGTACTCGCTTCATCGTCGACCCGCAGGTCGAAGGCTGCTAGCGAGCCGGCCCTTGAGATATCGCGCGGCGAGTCGCGCATGATATGCACTGCGAACTCATCTGCGAGCTCGAGCCACTCGGCCGACGCCGCAGCTTCGCGTGAGCCGTGCAAGCCCTCAACCGTCCGGAACAGCAGCCGGGTATCATCTGGCGCGTGACCGATGGCAGACAGGCCCCACACCGCAGGCGCCTCGGCCAGCTCTGGGTCGACCTCGCGGACCGGGGCACCCACTTCGGTCAGCGCGCGTGCGAGCGCCACCGGAACGAATCGTGTCTGTATCAGATGGAGAGAAGGAAGTGGTATGGACGCTCGAGTGAGTGGATGCACGCGATGGCACGAGAGGCTGTGGTTGGGGAAGCTGAGGGTTCATGGCATGCTGGCGGTCCGTACAATGGTGTAGACAACAGTCACGCAGTCTGGGTAGGACTCGTCCAGAGCAGACAGCGACGAGAGAGCAAGCGAGGCCGGAGTGGCGGTCGGCAGCGTGAAGGCAATGGCACAGAGACTGTCCTTCCGGTTCCCTTGCCATGTTCCTCAAGTAGGCCCTTGCTGAGAAGGTCATGGACCGAGGCCACCGACTTTGCCGGCGCCGTCGCTGAGAACTCCGTGACCGAGTTGGACGGAAGGAGGCCATAGATGAGCAGCAGCACCACCAGTACACCCACCATGGCCTTCAACACCATGTTCATCATCCTGCTCACACACTCACCCGCAGTGGTGACTAGAGTGGTGGCTGTCGGTATAGCCACGTCGTCTGGCTCGGCCTCACACCGTCCTCGCTGAGCGAAGGATCGTTCCCTGCGCTTGTCTGCCATCGACTGCCACCACGTCACCGGCATCGGCGGTTGCTCATCACGGCACTCGCCGAGAGCCCACCACAGCGCTTGGCTGTCGTTATTGATGACCATGCCAGCTGGCGATGATGGTGGTCATGAGCATTGTTCACGAGCAATGCTCATGATCAATGCTCACGATCGCCATCGACAACCCCCAGTCCGGCACCATTGCAAGCCCAACGAACACAATGGGCAGTGATCACAGCACGCTGACAAATACCGAGCCAAAGAGCAAAGCTTAAGCAAGCCGCCGGCGTCTGCCTCGGCCGAAAGAAGGTATGTCATCGCAAATCCCAACAACTGCGTACGCTTGTTTCGACTCGGCTCATCGGTGGCCAACTGACGACGTAGCATCATCGGTTTTCGTTGTTGGCAGCTGACCAACTTCCCCTCGTCCCCCCCCCCCCCTCCCCCCTGCCGGTCACAGCGACCAACCACCACTTCCCCCACCCCTCCCACCGCGCCACCATGGACCACGTGAGCGTCCTATCCAGGGTACGCAGTCAACCCTCCCCCTCTACCCCCATTCTCCCCCGTCCAGGCACAGTAGCCAGCGCCAGCCATGCGCAGTCGTTGCGGGTGACGCCCTCCCACCCGTCCACTGTCGGTCCACGCCACAACTGCCACACCACCACACCACCAGCATGACCAAGTACTGCCCCCCCCCGCATGCAACTCACACAGTCTCTGTCTCTCTTCACTGTCGCCAGGAACTGTACCGGGTGGTGGGCGAGGGCGATCTCGAGGCGACCAAGAGCCTGTTGGCCGACGGAGCTGATGCCGAGTGGCGGTGCGAGTGGGACGACGGCAAAAATTGTCTGCAGCTTGCAGCGCTTGCAGGTGCCTCGCACATTCTGCGGACGCTGCTGGAGACTCAGGCTGTGGACGTTCACGCCCGTGACGGATCTGGGCGGACGGCGCTTCATCTGGCGGTGGCCGGCGGATCAGCCGAAGCCGCCGAGCTCCTGCTCGATGCCGGCGCCGAGGTGGACGCCAAGGTGTGGGATATGTACGAGACGCCGCTGCTGCTGGGCGTGAAGGAGGGCGCGCAAGAGGCGGTGCAGACGCTACTGGAGCGCGGGGCAGACGTCAACTGTGTGGAAAAGACGCTTGGCATCTGCAACATGACGCCGCTCCACTGGGCGGCGAAGCTTGGGTTGGATCATTCTGCCACGTTGCTGCTGTATTACGGTGCCAACGTCGAGGCGGCCAACGATTACAAGGAGACGCCGCTGCATCTGGCGGCGGCCGAGGGCCAGGTCTCGGCCGCGGGCATTCTTGTCCGCGCCAAGGCTGATGTCAACGTGCGCAACGTCGACGGCAAGACCCCGCTGCACCTCGCTGTGGAGAACGGCGAGGTTGAGTCTGCAGAGCTGCTCCTCACTTCGGGCGCCCACGTTGACGCCCGTGACAAGAACGGCGAGACGCCGCTCCACGCCGCCGTCCACCACAACCAGCTTCCGGCTGTCCTGCTCCTCCTCGAGCACGGCGCGGCGCTGGATGAGCAGGACTCACGGGGATGGACCCCGCTCCACACCGCGGCATGGACCGGCAAGCCGCGCAACGTCAAGGTCTTGCTCGACAAGGGCGCCGACGTCAACCAAGTTGACCGTAAGGGCGCAACCGCCCTGCACTACGCGGCCCAGTATGCCCGAGGCGAGTGCGTGGACATTCTGATTGCCGCCGGCGCCTCGCTCGCCCAGCAAGACGCGGACGGGCACACACCGATTGACCACGCCTTTGACAAAGGCCATGTTCAGCTCGTTAATCTCCTCACCCAGCGGATGAAAGCCCGCGACATGACCGACGCCTACGTTGTCGACTTGCTCAAGCAGCGCCAGCGAGTCCGCGACCGCAACGTGGCACTCGCCTCCAAGCTCATTAAGCGGGCAGGCGGGCCTCACGCGAGCGACGGCAATGGGCTGCACTCATCCGGGGCGCCAAAGCCACGCCCGCCAGCGGGCGCGCGGCCATCGTCGGCCTCGGCGTTGGCGTCGGGTGCGCGCGGCGCACGCTCGCTCCGTCGCCCCAAGTCTGCCGCCGATGACAGCGGGCGGCGAGGCCGGCCGCGCGGGCGGCTGGGCTCGACCCGCAGCCGGGTCCCGACCTCGCGCTTTGAGGCTCCGGAGCTCCCGCCGCTGTCGTCGACCCAGGTCGGCTCGCTCTCGTCGTCGCTCCTCCGTCCGCCGCGCCGCTCGCCGTACTACGCACCCAAGACAGCTGCCACGCTCGAGGCGCGCCGGCTCGAAGCCGAGGCCAAGGTTCAGAGCGAGATGCGGCGGTGGAACCGGGCACAGGCTGCAGCGCAAGCATCGGCGGTGGAAGCACAGGTGCCAGCCTCGCTGCCGGCGACTGGGAGGGCCGGTGACGAGTCGCTGGCTACTCTTGAGGCCGAGGCCGAGATTGAGCGGCTCAAGCTCGAGCTCGCTGAGACCAAGCGTCGCAAAGTGCTCAAGTACGAGAAGCGGCAGCTAGAGATGTCGCGCGAGCTACGGAGGCTCAAGCGCGAGCTGCAAGAGCGTGAGGACGCAGCCAAGGCTGTCGGCGTCTCGGTTGCCAACTCGGACACGCTCTCTATGGACTCCTCGTCGTTCTCGCAAATGTCCAAGAAGGAGCTCCGCGAACGCAACAAGCTGCGACGCAAGCTCTCGCAACTCCGCACGGCGCACGCGTCGGCGCTACAGGAGCGCAACGAGAAGAGCGAAGAGAACAAGAAGCTTACTAAGCAGATGAAGGACTTGCGTAAGCGACTCCGGGTCCAGCAGGACATCCTTCGCTCGAAGAACGCCGCGCTCAAGGACAAGGAGGGCCAGTTGCGCTCCAAGCACTCTGAGCTCCAGTCTGCGCGAACCTCGGCGCCGCACGCCGCGGCCTCACACAGTGTTGTCACTGTTGACACGTTCCTCCCGACGTGGCTCACGGCGCGGCGCTTCCGGATGAAAAACCCGCGACAGGCGTCGTACCGGCCAGAAGAGTCGTACTCGAAGCTCTCCACAATTGTCGGCCTCCGCCGGCGCAAGCGTATGATGCCAACTCATCTCAACGCCACGGAGCGCCGACAGGAAGAGCTTGCTCACGTTCGCGAGGATATGACCGACATGCTCTACTTTATGGTCCACCACGTCGACGACTTTGCTCGTGCCGAGGCCTTCCAGCGCATGCAGGACGAGACGGCGGCCAAGCAGGCCGAGTACGATGAGGCGCTGGTGGCCAAGCAAGAGCAAGAGGCCCGCATTGAGGAACTCCTTGCCGAGCTCGCTGCCGAGGAGGCCGAACTCGAGGGCCAGCGCCACAAGCTAATCGAGGGCATGACCCACGAGTTCCTCGCCTTTGCCGAGGACGCCGACACCAAGGCCGAGCCGCTCACCGATCCGGATCCCAAGCGGTCGAACAAGCTCTCCAAGGGCGCCCTCTACCGGCGCAAGAAGCGTCGCAAGCCACAGTCGTCGTCGGTCTGTGCCGTCATGTAGGCTGTGCGCTGATGAGTGATAAAGATACACGAGTCTGACGGCCGTTCGACCGCGCTTGCCCGGCAGAGGCTGTACCGACCGGAGGCCCCGGTGTCCGTCGACCCGCGACACCTCACCCCACCGAGGCCCAGCAGCACCACCGCTCTCACCGTTGCCGCAGCTGCCAACCCAGCTGCCAAGGCATACATCCACACAACTGCACAGGCGTTGCCACCCACGCTGCTTGGTGAGGTGAAGGGCGCCTGACTAGTCCGCAGCAGTTTCGCTAGCCCGCAGGCGTGGGGCATGTCGGGGAACACCTTGCGCAGCCGAAGCAGGGCCCATTCGGACCCGACACAGCGACACAGCGCGAGTCTACTACAGACGGTAGTGAGCGGAAACGCAGTCGAGATGAAGCCAGCTATGACGCCAGGAGTGGTGAACCAGCCGCTCTTCGCGTCACCGACACCGGCGATGGACGCACCTGCCGACGTCGGCGGTGTCGACCAGTCGCCTCCTCCTCCGCCGCCGCCGCCGGTCCGGGTCATGTCCAACACGCCAACGCCCTCGCCAAACATGTCGGCGCTTGGGCTCGTCTTCTCGGACGAAGACGATATAGCCAAGGTGCAGCAGGACCGGCCGCGGCTGGAGATTCCGGGCAGGGGGAAGGCACGGCGCGGTCCGGGTTCGCGGTCGACCGGATCGACGCCGCGGCTGAAGAGGGCGGCAACGATGATTGTGATGCGCGAGGAGAACGGTTGTAACCAGGTTCTGCTTGGCCAGATTGAGGTGGTCAACGCTATCGCGTCGACACCAGGCAACGAGGTCCGAAACCGATTTGCAGGCGAGTTTCGGTTCCTCGGCGGGAAAGCGTTTCCAGATGAGGCGACGCCAGTTGAGACAGTAACCCGCGAGCTCAAGGCCGTTGGCTTTCCGCATCTCGACGACTTTGCACTCCAGGTTGTGCTCTTGCACAAGAAGCGGCGGTTTGGTGAGTACGAGATGCACACGTTCTTCGCCGACGTCCGCGACAACCCGCAGGTTCTCGGCGTCAACATCGGAACCATCAACGAGTACCTCGCCAAGCGGCGGGAGGCACGCCGAAAGCTCATTGAGAGCGGCGAGTTCTTCCGGCTTCCGCGAATGCAAAAGATGGCGCTTGCGCCCAAGCTGCACCACTTGGAGTGGATTGGTGTCGATGAAGCGCTCGAGTGGACGTCGCCGGAGCGGAGGGCAGTCAACGCGTACCAGGCGCGTGAGTTTGAGCGACTGGGTGTGACGGCACGTGAGGTGTCGCGTGGAACAACGGCGACGCTGCTCGAGCTCCGGCACCTCGGCTCGATCAAGGCCATCAAGGACGCATCGCTCCACGCGCATCTCGAGTCGTTTGCGGTCACGCACTCGCTCGACCCGGCCCCGCTGGTGGCGCAGCTCTACTCGCGCATGCCGGCGTCAGACCGCGCCGGAAGCTCATCGCGCGAGCTTCTGCGACCGTTAGGCGGCGAGCCCGACGCGGGCTTTAGGCGCGCCAGTGACGGCATGCGACGCAATCGCTCGTACCACGCGTTGCCCTCGCCCAAGACTGACGAGCTGCCTGTCGATGGCGGCGGTGGCCCTGCGCCCCAACTTCGGCTCCTCTCGTACAACGTCAATGTGCTTCCGCGCGGAGTGTGGATGTTTGGCACCGGCCAGGGCTTGCATGCATCGGAGCGCTTGGCAGCGATTGCGGCGAGAATCTCCAAGGGCAACTACGACGTCCTCGCACTGCAGGAGCTCTTCCACACGCCACTTCTGCCTGGTGATTTGCAGGCAAGCTTTGTGGCACAAATGCACGAGGCTGGCTTCCATCATGTGGTGACCTCGCCCAAGCCGTCGCTGGGGCGAATGCTACTCCGCTCCAAAGTCACCGACTCGGGCCTTATCATCTGCTCCAAGTACCGCATTGTCGAATCCGAGTCGCTCACGTTCTCGTCGGCGGGCTGGGGCCTCGACATGGGCGCATCCAAAGGCGTACTGTACGCGCTTGTCGAGCTTGGGCCGCGGTCGTGGCTCCACGTCTTCAACTGTCACCTGCAGGCAGCGCACAGCGGCATGTCGTCGCGCGAGCTGGCACAGATTCGTCACGCACAACTCGTTGAGTTGCAGCGGTTTGTGGAGCGTAAGACGCGCGGCACCTCTTTTCCTACGTTCTCACGGGTGATTTCAATGTTGATGCCATCGCCGAGTCGCAGGCGCGGGTCCTGCTCGGTGTTCCGCAGCTGCCGGGCACGGCCGAGTCGGACGACTACCGGCGAATGATGGAGACGCTCAACCCGCGCGGCAACGTGGTGGACTTACTCAAAGCTGCCAAGGGCCGGCATGTGACTACTCGCCCGCCGCGACTTCGGTTTCCAGCATCAATGCATGCGGCACTGCGGCACAAGTACCCGCAGCGGCTCGACTATGTGTTTTCAAAGAGGGCTCACTCGGCTCGGTCCGGGCCGATGTGGGCAAAACATCAGTTGTCAAGTTTCAGGACCACGACGAGCGGCAGCCGTTTGAGTTTCTCTCAGACCATTTCGGCATCGAAACGGCGTTGCTGATCAATCGTGAGCTGACATGGGAGCCGGTGCTGGCGGAAGAGGCGCCACCTATGCCGCCGCGGCTGCTACGGCAGGACTCGCGGCAGCGCCGCGAGGTCGAGCGAATCGAGCGCCCCTCTCGCTGATCCGGCTCTGCGTGCTCGGTGGAGCCAACCTGATGGCCGGCTTTGCACTTGCGCTGGTGCGCATGGCGACGAGGCGGACTCCGCTTTACCCGGTGTTTTTGCCGGACTGATACTAGTTGTGGTGGCCATCCGGCTGCTTGCGCGTCAACTGCAGGGTGTGGTCCGCCGCGACTGGCAGGCAGTGTGGAGAGAGCTGTCTCGCCCGGGTCAGATCGAGTCACAGAAGAGCGGGCGGCTATGTCGGGCAAGCGAGTGCGGCAACGTCTACGAGCTGTTTCTCGACTCGGTCCGGCAGCACGGCCACCGACCATGCCTTGGCGAACGAGCTCTGGACGCCAATGGAGGACTCGGGTCGTACGCGTTTGCAACCTATGACGAAGTCCACGAGCAGGTCCGCGACTTTGGGTCAGGCTTGCTGCAGCTCGGACTCGCGCCGGGCTCGAATGTTGGCATTCTCTGCACCCAGCGCGGTGAGGCAATTGTGGCCGAGCTGGCATGCGGCATGTACTCGTTGGTCACTGTCCCACTGTTGTGCCTTGGCGCGGCAGCGGTGCCTTCTCTCATTCACGAGCTCCCGCTCAAGGTGGTTGTCACATCGCGAGCGTGGACGCTCGAGGCTGTGAGGACTGGGTGGATTTCCTCGGAGACAGTAGTGGTTCAAGTGGAGCGACTGGAGTATGCGGAGCGTGCAGCGGCGGCAGCGGCGGGTATTCGGCTGATGGATCTCGAGTATGTGGCGCAGATGGGACGGAACCACCCTCTGCCTGCGCTGCTGCCGCAACGGTCACAGGTGGCGGTGGTAGTCTTTACCTGGGATGACGACAACGAGTCGGGACGCGAGATGGTGTCACGACACATGTTGAGCCACGGAGCCATTGTAGACGGCATCATGGGGCTCTACGGCTGGCTCGGATCGACGCTCGACGAGCACGATGTGCACTACTCGTTTCTGCCGCTCGATCATGTGTGTGAGCGGTCATTTGTCGGGCTTATGCTGTTTGTGGGCGGAAGGATTGGGCTTTCGTCACCTGCAGGCGCCGACACAGTGTTCGGCGATATGGCGATGCTCAAACCAACGTACGTGCTTGGGACACCGGTGTTGTTCAAGAAGTTTTGGAACTTGCTTGGCTCGGCACAGAGCGAGTGGCCGTGGTACCGACGCCTGGTCTTCGACCTCGGATTCTACCTCAAAGTGGCACGGCTCTCGCGCGGGAGGTTCCAGATCGAGGAGTGGTGGGATCGGCTCATTTTCCAGCCCATTGCGTCGCTGCTGGGCTCACGACTGCGGTTCATTGTGTCTGTTGGCGAGGGTGGACCGCCACCTCCGCTACTCATTCAGCAGTTTCTTGAAGTAGTCATCTGCGCCCCGCTCGTCCACACAGTGGCACTCCCGCACGCGGCCGGCTATTGCCTGCGGTCAATGGCACTCGGTGGCGAGCAGGATGCACTGCTGTTCCCGCTCCGACGGCCGGAGCTGGTCAAGGTTGAGCCGGAACAGGACGGCGAGCTCTGCCTGCGTGAGCACGATGGGCCGTGGCGACGGACAGGGCTCCGCGCGACAGACGATCCCGACACCGGCGGGGTCCTGCTTTGGGTCCCGAATCAGGCGTGGTGTCCACCCGCGATGGGGTTGTGGTGGCGCTGCTAATTGTCGAACGTGCGTACGGCTTTGCATCGGACTTGGTCTCGCAGATCTGGTGCTGGATGGACAGTCGCGATGTGCTGCGGGCAGTGGTCGCCGTCGAGCACGAGAATGTGTACGCGTGGGCACGGCAGCGTGAGTTTGCTTCGCTCGACATCGAGGCGCTCTGTGCACTGGACGAGCTTAAGCACGCACTCCTTGACGCATTTGCGATGGCGTGGGAGGTCGGAGATGTGCAGCCGAGAGTGGCCGCAACACAGCTCGCGGATGTGCGTCTTGTTGCGGACGCGTTCACCGTAGGCAATGCGTTGACGACGCCGATGCAGACGCTGCGGCGTGAGCGACTCGCCGAGCGATATTGTGGGTAGGTCAAGTCGTGACATGGCGTGGAGTTGGCGACACGGCCAGGCAGACCGGACTCCTTTCTGACGAAGCAAAGTGCGCACGACGACAAGGTTGATGAATACACGTACAAGGCAGACCACTGCACTTTAGCCCACCCACTGCATCGCCTATTGCTCGCACTTGCCCTCTCTTGTTCTTCCTTGTCTTGGCCAGCCCGGTGGCTTTGTCGTCTGGCTCGGTGATCGGCAGCAGGGGCGGGTGGCGAACCAGGACGGCGGGGGCTGTGATGCGCAAGGCCGGAGGAGGGAGGGGAGGATTGGGTTGGAGGGCGCACTGGTAGTCTTTGCCATTGCTGTGGCTATCTCTATGCATTGCCTCCAGTGCCCTGTCGATGGCTAACTTGACCTCGGTGGTGCCGGCGGTGGTCGGTCGGCGGCGGGCGGCGGTCGGCGGCGAGCAGCAGGCGGTCAGCAGCGATGCTGTTGACGCGATGGCGTCGGCTGATGTGCGTATCGGGGAACTGGAAGTGGGTGGCTATGTTTGTAGGGGTAGTGGGTACGTGTGATGTGAGCGTGGGGGTTGTGGGTGGAGATGGTGGGGAGTGCGGGTCGGAGATGGGCCCGCGGCGGGGGTGAGCACCTTCGAAGGGACACAGGGCCAACAAGTTGGGCCTGAGCCGGCAGAACTCGGATTCCGGAATACAGCAGCTGTGGATTGGAAACTGCGCATAAACGTAGTTTGTGTATGTAGTAGGGTAGTAGTGAAATCAGATTGGTCATATCTTGCAATGAGGTTGGTGGGGGGCGTGTGCGGGGTCGGGCGGTCGAGGTCGTGCTCAACCGCCTAGGCAAAACAAGCCGACGCGGAAATGAGCCGAAGTCGATGGGTATCGATGACAGCGATAATGGTAATGGTGATAGTGTGGGGTGAGTGATGACCTTGAGTGTGGTCGCGGGTTGCGTAGCTGGTAGTGGGAAGGAGCTAGGTGGTGATGAAGGTGGGCCTGATCGGGCGAGCGGGCG